GTTCACTTGTTTTTGTTAATATGTCTTTTGATTGAGTTTAGCCATTTCAATTGATATTTTATAGTGTGTCTTTCTATGTTGTGATGTTACACTATTGTTTTAGGTAGGGTGAAGGTTGGCGCCTATTAAAACGTTTAAACCCGCTGCATTTGTTTGCACCTGTCCTAAGTCAGGAACCTGATGTTCAGTGGTTGTCGTTTGTTGATGTGGTTCATAAGTGGTTCTCGTTTCTCGTTTTTTATATAGATTAGACCGTTGGTTTTCCTATTTGAATGGTTTTACACTAGTAATTTTTGGGGCCCTTTATATCTTGCTGTTCGGTGTGAGCCAAGGCTCCGTATTGAAGGCCGTACTTTGACCTATAATGGTTTACTTTTACAAATTGTGACTTGGATGGAGAGTTGTCTCATTGGCACTCATACCACATCTTCTTATATCTATTTAATTTTTAAAGACATCAACACAATAGTTTAAGTAAAGGGTTACAATGATAAGCGTTGATCCGTTAAAAACAAACCATTCGCCCTCCGGGCTCATGGTTTCTTTTTCAAGAATCAACGCTTATTCATTGTATCTATAATACATATTATATTTCAAGCTTTATATTAAGATCACCAGTAACTTTTGAAAATCTAGTTGAGTTGTTACTTTTGAGTCTTGCAAGAAAAATATTACCGGGTAAAATTAATAATATATAGAGTTACACTTTCGGAAAAATTAATCATGATGAAAGATATCTTTTTCTGTAATTGTTGCATTTAAAGCCCATTCCAATTTTAAAATTCACCCAAAAATCATATAGCACACTCTCGCACCCCAGCCTAATTTCCACTTTGCCTAGAGTTAAGTCTGGAACCATAAATCAAGCAAAATTCTTACATTATTCTCCTGATGATAAATATAATGGATAATACGGGGAAAATACATGGATTTTATTTCTAAGAATAATTCTACAACTAGTATTGAGCTTTGAAGAAATGTACCATCAAGAAATAGTAATATAATATAAAAATAAGAACATGTTGTATGATTGCCAATGAGACAACTCTCCACCAGAGACCTAATGACATAGAAGTTAACAACTATAGGTCACCGTACGACCTTCAACAATAAGCAAAACCCATACCGCATAATCAGCTATAAAAGGCCCCGAAATGACAAATGTAAAACAATTCAAACGAGAAAAATGTATCTTTATATAACGACATTTGTGTGTACACGTAACTAACAAGGGTGTTTCTCTTCACGTCTCTGTTCAACAAAATGTACCAGAAAAGATTTACTTCCTTATGCACTCATTTATCTATATTGTTATATTCTTATTACAAACGTGTGGAAACCGACTTGTGTTGTCTGATTTTTAATAATGACTTTTGCAGTTGTTGATTGTGCAGGGTTCCAGCAGGTTCAGATGCCACTCCAAAATATAACATTCTGTTGTCTTTTCGGTTTAGCGAATATAAACATTGTCACAAAACATTAACCTCGAAGGACAACTCTCAGGAGAAACACTTGAAAATTACCAAGACTCATGTGGTTCTGCAAATATGTTGCATATTTGATTTTGTCATGCTAAGACTCCAAAACCAAACTAAAACTTAAAGGATTTAAATTTTAAAAAATTCGATCGAATCCTTCAAAAAATAGTATCAATACTTAGAATATCAGTAAAAAATGCTGATAACGATGCTAAAAAAGTAAAGAATAAATCCAACGTCTGTTTGACTTTCTGAGTTTCATCCAATTTACTCATTAGTAGGCTTTGCATTAGGTATTTGATTTCATCATGTCCAGACTCCTAAAGCCAAAAACGTAAAAGTAAAGGATTGAAGTAATAGTAAAAGTTAACCAAATCTGTCGAAATTTGACCTTAATTTAAGATATAAAAAGTAATACTTTAATTCTTAAGAATATCAGTGAACAGTTTTGGTAATGGTACCAAAAAATCAAAAAAAAAAAGAAAAAAAGATTAAGCGTTTGTTTGGCCTCGTGAGTTTTAATTTTGTTCCATTTGCACTGATTAAAATGTGATCATATGCAATAGGACTCACAAGTCATGTCAATAGGCTTTGCATATGAGTTCACAGACAACAATAGGACTCACAAGTCATGTCAATAGGCTTTACATATGAGTTCACGGACCACAATATGACTCACAAGTTATGTCAATAGGCTTTACATATGAGTTCACGGACCACAATAGGACTCACAAGTCATGTCAATAGGCTTTACATATGAGTTCACGGACCACAATAGGACTCACAAGTCATGTCAATAGGCTTTACATATGAGTTCACGGACCACAATAGGACTCACAAGTCATGTCAGTAGGCTTTGCATATGAGTTCACGGACCACAATAGGACTCACAAGTCATGTCAATAGGCTTTACATATGAGTTCACGGACCACAATAGGACTCACAAGTCATGTCAATAGTCTTTACATATGAGTTCACGGACCACAATAGGACTCACAAGTCATGTCAATAGTCTTTACATATGAGTTCACGGACCACAATAGGACTCACAAGTCATGTCAATAGGCTTTACATATGAGTTCACGGACCACAATAGGACTCACAAGTCATGTCAATAGGCTTTACATATGAGTTCACGGACCACAATAGGACTCACAAGTCATGTCAATAGGCTTTACATATGAGTTCACGGACCACAATAGGACTCACAAGTCATGTCAATAGGCTTTACATATGAGTTCACGGACCACAATAGGACTCACAAGTCATGTCAATAGGCTTTACATATGAGTTCACGGACCACAATAGGACTCACAAGTCATGTCAATAGGCTTTACATATGAGTTCACGGACCACAATAGGACTCACAAGTCATGTCAATAGGCTTTGCATATGAGTTCACGGACCACAATAGGACTCACAAGTCATGTCAATGGGCTTTACATATGAGTTCACGGACCACAATAGGACTCACAAGTCATGTCAATAGGCTTTACATATGAGTTCACGGACCACAATAGGACTCACAAGTCATGTCAATAGGCTTTACATATGAGTTCACGGACCACAATAGGACTCACAAGTCATGTCAATAGGCTTTACATATGAGTTCACGGACCACAATAGGACTCACAAGTCATGTCTATAGGCTTTACATATGAGTTCACGGATCACAATAGGACTCACAAGTCATGTCAATAGGCTTTACATATGAGTTCACGGACCACAATAGGACTCACAAGTCATGTCTATAGGCTTTACATATGAGTTCACGGACCACAATAGGACTCACAAGTCATGTCAATAGGCTTTACATATGAGTTCACGGACCACAATAGGACTCACAAGTCATGTCAATAGGCTTTACATATGAGTTCACGGACCACAATAGGACTCACAAGTCATGTCAATAGGCTTTACATATGAGTTCACGGACCACAATAGGACTCACAAGTCATGTCAATAGGCTTTGCATATGAGTTCACGGACCACAATAGGACTCACAAGTCATGTCAATAGGCTTTGCATATGAGTTCACGGACCACAATAGGACTCACAAGTCATGTCAATAGGCTTTACATATGAGTTCACGGACCACAATAGGACTCACAAGTCATGTCAATAGGCTTTACATATGAGTTCACGGACCACAATAGGACTCACAAGTCATGTCAATAGGCTTTGCATATGAGTTCACGGACCACAATAGGACTCACAAGTCATGTCAATAGGCTTTGCATATGAGTTCACGGACCACAATAGGACTCACAAGTCATGTCAATAGGCTTTGCATATGAGTTCACGGACCACAATAGGACTCACAAGTCATGTCAATAGGCTTTACATATGAGTTCACGGACCACAATAGGACTCACAAGTCATGTCAATAGGCTTTACATATGAGTTCACGGACCAAAACACTATTCAAATAGAAAAGATCAAATGGCACTGTTTCATACATTTAGGTTAATAGGCATATAATTTTAAACGAATGAAATAGAATTGTATCAAATATGATAGAACTAAAAAAAAAAGAAAGTCAAAATGAAATGAAAAAATAGCTGTTGAGGGATCAGCATTTATAATGCTACATTTAATAAATTTGTATTAGAATTAAGCATTATTTATATTAATATAACCTTAAAGTGTGAATTTTAGATTTCGTACTTTCAATTTAAATGATTGCAAATCTGAAAAAAAGAACGTAAATTAATAATAAATTTACAAAAAAGACAAATTCATATTGATATAAATGGGATTCAAGCTAAATATATGCAAGGTATGAATGAGAGTAGATGTAAAAGTACTATATATGAGTTCCAATGTTGTTTGATACATAATTTCGTGAAAAGGGCGGGGGGATTTGTGTCCTTTTGTGGTAGGGGTGATCAGCTTGACTTTCAATTCCTCACCCTAATCATATATTTTAGATATTAAAAAAATAGACCTTTAGCTTTGTTACACTATTTCGTGGCGAGTAAAAACTGATTTGTCAAATATCTTATGCATTTATGACTGTGGTTTTAAATTTATTGCATCTTTAAAAATACTAAATATTTTACATACTGATATCATATATTTAATTTAGATTTATTAACATTATCATAAATAAAGCTTGAAATAGTGACAAAATCAAAGGCTTCTCCCAACAACCCATTATATAGTAAATGCCTTAGTGATCTCTAGACGGATGTATAAGACTCCGATCTTAGGATTGCTAGTTTGCCTGGCGCATTGTCGCTTGTTCTCTCTTGGTGTTTCGGCTTCTTCCGACAAACAAAATGACAAAATTGATATAGCTAAGAGTATTGAAAGTGGTGTTCAACGACATAAATCAATCAACCAATCAATATGCATGTACACAATCTTTGTTCATCTTCTTATTTTTATATTTATACGAACGGATTTAAAATATTATTACCGGGAGAACGTTATTTATTATAATTCCATGTCGGATTTAGAAATGTTTGTAAGATAACATGTAATATCATGGTAACGGATTAAGATATTCTTAAATTTCAGGTAAGAATAACTATCAATCAAAGCCGTACGATTCCCAAAGATCAAAGAACAGATTTAATTGCCTTAATACTTGCAAGCTGGAACCAAGTCCTTGACCCCTGGGTCTATCTTTTATTCAGACATGAGATGCTACAGAGATTTGTGCATCTGATCGAAAAATCCCGAGGAGGATCGGTCTTGAGACGTTTATTAAACTTTACAGGAAGCTTTAGGAGCACATCATCGAGTAGTGACACACAGTACAATCAACCAGCAGAAAATCATGCTACCTCACATGCAGAAGTACGACAGGATCTATGGCATGGTAATAATGTGTGTTCCAAAGATGACAGCGAAACCCAGATGACTGTTTTCATTGACAAAAAAATGATGCAGGAAAACTGTGATGCACCAAACGACGTTTAACTTTTTTAAATCAATTTACATATGTATGCTCATGTCGATATACTAGTATATAAAAGATAAAATTAGATATATTTATTCTATGAAAACCCATATAAAGCTCTTAAAATTGTGCATTTTACGGTAAAACATGTCCTGATTATGTGCTGATGGATCCTTGACTTTGAGCTGGTGAATCTTGATTCAATGCTGGTGATTTCCATAAGACGTTAATTTAATGTTATTTCGAATCAAACGTTGCATAATCAATAACATTGATCATAGATTGTTTTTTTCAATCGGCTTTGTGACACCTATTTGAATTTTGGATGGATGGATGGATGGCTGTTTAACGTCCAATGGCTAATTAAATGCATACTCAGGACGAGAACATAATAATATGATACGAATACAAACACTATTTTGCACCAGATCGACACGCTTAGCCAGATTTTTAACGTGCTAGTTTACAACAGTCCACAGGAAGATATGTCACCCTACCCGGGCACATTATTTCTAACTCAGAGCCGAGCAGTCTTTGCTATTCCTCCTAAATGCTGCGTGTTTAGTGTAGGATAAGCAAATACAAATTGTCAAGTCTTTGGTTTGACCTGGCCGATGTTTAAATCCATGACCTTCCGCACTCGAGGCAAACACGATACCACGACACAACCGAGACGGTTTTGAACTTTGAATATCCATTTGACTTTTAATTAGCGGTTTCAAAGAATCGCAACTTAATATTACATCTAAAGGGCACCAACTTCAATATTTATACAAACATATTTAATTGGAATAGTTTATTTTAACTATTATAAATGCCATAAACATGCTAATTTTAATCAACATGATGCTTCCTCAACCATTTTATAGATATACGATATATCAAATCCTAAGTTTAAGAGAAATTTTAAACGACATTGAACATATTGAAATATTGTCTCAATTTCGCTATAGAGACTGCTTTTTTTTGGTATTAGTTCTTTCGATGTCAGAATCGCAAGATACTATCTTCTTAACAAAAACCATCGGCGCTCTGTTTGTAGAACAATGATTCGTTTGGGTATTTTCTATTGATTGCTCTATTCAAAATGGATTGTAGTTTTGAAATTGTTGATACATGTTAGTAATATTGACCAACGTCCGTGACGTTGCAATCAACGCTCAGAAAACGCTAAAATCATTAGAAAAAAAACAACTAAAAACAAAAGTCTTGTTCTACCAAGACCACAAACTCTACAATTGAAACTGCACAGTTTTTACATGCCATTATGTAGTACTGTAGTATCTGAGTACTGTCAAAAGTTAAAATAGTATGACTTCACAACGTTTGTTCCTTGGCGTGCTTTATAAAGGTAATTGCAGAAACATGTGCTGAGCGCAAGAAAAATCAAAACATTGTTTTTAAGAATGTTGATGTATTAAGAAATGGCATGCTTTTATATAAATTGAAATAATGAATACAATTGTTTTGCATAAATATATATACGAAGACAAAGCGTATGCGTACAACGTTTGTCCAACAAAGACCTAGTGGTAACTATAGGATAGTATTCATCTATATTCACGACCACCAATCCCTCTAAAAAAAGAAAACAACACGTTATAAATTTCATGCGTCCGAAGCGCTTTCTGGATTTACCATCATCAGGAACGCACAAAGCTGAATATTTGAAAGCCAAGGATGTATAAGAACCGAAACATTTGAAGAGCTATATGACCAAACAGATCCTCAAAAATAGCCAAATCCATCTAAGGTCAACTTTGCCTGAGCGAGTTGAAACCTTAGTTCCTTTATAATTTCAAAATTTATAAACGGACAATTTTAGAAAGGATTTTTATAAATCATGTCAGTACCGACATACTGACTACTGAGCTGATGATACCCTCGGGGACTGATAGTCCACTGGCAGAGGTATCGACCCAGTGCTTTAAAATATGAAAAAAAAAACACGTTATAAATTTCATGCGTCCGAAGAAGCGCTTTTTTGATTTACCTTCATCAGGAACACTCAAAGCCGAATATTTGAAAGCAAGAGCTATATGAACAAAAGGTCTTCTTCCGTTTGTAATGTTCCAGTGGGGGCCTTCCTCTCTTTGTCTTATATATTAATGCTTTTGCTGATAAGCTTACATCACTTTGTCGGCTATTTGCTGATGACACTTCATTCAGTTACTCTGGTAACGACAAAGAACAGATTAGATCTGTTATCGACCGCGACCTGAAAGAGCTGGATGATTGGTCAACCAAATGGCTTTTGTCATTTAACCCTGATAAAACTGAAATTATGATTTTCTCAAATATTGAGATTCCAGACCTCAACTTTTCCTTAAATGGTAATAATATACCTTTAAGTACATTTCATAAGAACCTGGGAGTTAATTTCAGTGGTGACACAAAATGGAACAATCATATTGAAAGTATGATTACAAGCGTAAAGAAAAACTTAAATGTTTTGCGTAAACTAAAATACCGACTATCTCGAAACAATTTAGAAAAACTGTATCTAGTTTTTATTCGACCCATTTTTTGATATGCCACGGAAGTGTGGGATAATTGTGGAATATGCTATTCACATTAATTAGATATCTAGACCACCCAAGGTATTTACTGCACTGACGGTAACCGGGATCTTAAACAAAATTTATTCATATTGATTTTATTTATGACATGGATACAGCGGTACTTATAAGATTACAAATATTTGTATAATGCAAGTTCAAAGGAAATGACGGCTTAAAACTTTCTAAAAACTCGTCACATGATATTTCACTTCTTTGTCATTTCCATTAACCAGGTACATACGTAATTATAGACACAAAGAAATATGTAAGCAGAGTAAGATTTGAAAATATATCAATGAGCAAATATTCCTGAAATAATCGTAGAGAAAACTTAAAGAATGGCGACCATGAATACTTTTACTGGATTTGAATCGAATAAAACAAGTGGGTTGAGTACACTATTCAATTTAATTACTTTGGAATCTTCAAATGCCACAGATAATGTAACAATGCTACCGTCGCTTGGACAGCGTCCACATGTTCCAGTCTTTTCTATACTATTATTTATGCTTGGAGTAGTAGGGAATATTCTTGCAATCGGTGTAATAATCCAATCTAAAAAACAACACAAGTGGGCCGTTTTTCACAGATTGGTCATAGCATTAGCTTTAACTGATTTAATTGGTATTCTCACAACGTCGCCTGTAGTTTTTGCCTTCTTTGCCGGAAAAGTTGATTTGAGAACGGATGACTCATTATGCCATTACATGGCGTTCATGATGATATTTGCCGGATTAGCAACCGTTCTTTTAGTTTGTGCCATGGCTTTGGACAGATATTTAGCAGTACTTCATCCATTAAAGTATTTCACTTTTCATAGCTACAATTTTGTTAATGTAGTAATATTTTTGATTTGGCTTTTTTCTTTAATAATGGCTATATTACCTTTATTTGGCATAAGTAAGAGCGTAGCATATTTTCCATATTCATGGTGCTTTTTTAATTTCTTTAGCAACAGAGTTGTAGACAAAATATATACCTATTTTTATGCCATACTAGGACTGGCTGCTATTTGTATGACGGCATTAATGAACATATGTGTTATTGTGGGATTTATATATGGAAGAAGAAGTATTTCGAGACGTGTAAGTACAGCGAACAAGGAAAGATCCAGAAAAGACATGTATACTACCGTGTTCTTAGTAGCAATATTCCTGGTATTTACAATCTGCTGGACACCATTTATGGTAAGAACTATCCTTTTTATAATAAACGTTAAAACTATCAGTCCAAATCAAATGTTGTTTTCAAATTATACCTTTGAAGTAGAAATATGTAAATGGTTTGTCAACAGAAGATTTAAAAGGCTGTAAATTAAAGTGACAATTGTTTACCATTGTTAAATCTCGAAAATCGATAAAAACATACAAACGAAGGTAACACACTAAAACAAAAAAAAAAAAGGAGCGCGACCTGGTGCGTCATCAACATTGATATTGTAGCTTGTTTTTTTTTATAGGATACGTGTCTTATTGTGAGAAGGAGATATATTTTCATTGTTGACTTAATAACTTCTTTAAATACACATCAAGCTACAAAACAGAGCTTGGGTAGATATTTATCATGTATGCTTGCCTTTTCTATTTATTTTTCTGATTTCCAAACGCAGTATTTTCAATTTTATCAGCATAAGTTATTCAAAGCACGACACACCTATTTAGGTGGATGATATTTTTAGCTTGATGTCGAAGTGTTTTTCTAATCAAGACGTTTTGAATATAACCCCCTTTCCCCTCGACTTAATCATCCCTCAAACTATTCCAAAACCGTAACGAAATGAACTAGTTTCAAAGATCCCAAGCCTCCATCAGTAATATTCTTATTTCCTATAGTCAGCTGATTCAAATGAAATATGGATACCCCAAAATAATGCAATGGAAAATTCCACTTTGCTGTATTGAGAACCAAATTGATCCAAAAACAAAATATAAGGTAGACAATGGCATTACATGGATAAGATCGTGAGAAAATTTCATCAAATTGTGATAAAGTGCTAAAGAGCAGAAGCGGGAACAAATGTAATATATAGATCGACGATATGTCGTATCATACAAAGAAATCCCCCAAAAAATATTCACATAGAAATAGAAAGTGGAAAAGAAGAATTATGTGAATAAGATTCAGTGAATGTTTCACAAATTCTGCCATGCGGTTTAGTATCAGTTGCGGTCATAAATATGGTGCAGAAGGATGAACCAACGGACGAATAGACTGAGGGCATATATGATTTTATACCACCGATTTAGAAAATGATCCATTTGAAATGGGAAGGTATATTTTGCCCATTTAATCATAATCTATAGCATTATAAATCTACCAAATAACATGATTCAAATGTTGATGTGACATTATCACTATTCATAGAAATGAATTAACTCTTTCAGGTTAGGGTGAAGGTTTGGCGCCTGTTAAAACGTTTAAACCCACTGCATTTGTATGCACCTCTTCTAAGTCAGGAGCCGGTTGTTCAGTGGTTGTTGTTTGTTGGTGTGGTTCATAAGTGTTTCTCGTTCCGCGTTTTTTATATAGATTAGACCGTTGGTTTTCCTGTTTGAATTGTTTTACAGTCATTTTGAGGCCCTTTATAGCTTGCTGTTCGGTGTGAGCCAAGGCTCCGTGTTGAAGACCGTACTTTGACCTATAATTGTTAACTTTTTATACATTGTCAATTGGATGGAGAGTTGTCTCATTGGCACTCATGCCACATCTTCTTATTTACTAGTATATTTGTCTCACATACTTGCATTTAGGCATCAAACTTATTTTGATATACGGCTAGTAGCAGTGTTACGTTCCTTTAATTTATAAAAACAACATGACGTTTCGCTTCACTCTCACCCCATACGGAATTTACTGACCCCATATATATCGTACTAGGTCACTAGCACACTGTGTAACTAATATATATCGTACTAGGTCACTAACTGTGTAACTAATATATATCGTACTAGGTCACTAGCACACTGTGTAACTAATATATATCGTACTAGGTCACTAGCACACTGTGTAACTAATATATATCGTACTAAGTCACTAGCTGTGTAACTAATATATATCGTACTAGGTCACTAGCACACTGTGTAACTAATATATATCGTACTAGGTCACTAGCTGTGTAACTAATATATATCGTACTAGGTCACTAGCACACTGTGTAACTAATATATATCGTACTAAGTTACTAGCACACTGTGTAACTAATACCCCGGTATATATCGTACTAGGTCACTAACACACTGTGTAACTAATATATATCGTACTAGGTCACTAACACACTGTGAAACTAATATACAGTATATCGTACTAGGTCACTAGTACACTGTGTAACTAATATATATCGAACTAGGTTACTAGCACACTGTGTAACTAATATATATCGTACTAGGTCACTAGCACACTGTGTAACTAATATATATCGTACTAGGTCACTAGCACACTGTGTAACTAATATATATCGTACTAGGTCACTAGCTGTGTAACTAATATATATCGTACTAGGTCACTAGCCTTGTAACTAATATATATCGTACTAGGTCACTAGCACACTGTGTAACTAATATATATCGTACTAGGTTACTAGCACACTGTGTAACTAATACCCCGGTATATATCGTACTAGGTCACTAACACACTGTGTACCTAATATATATCGTACTAGGTCACTAACACACTGTGAAACTAATATACAGTATATCGTACTAGGTCACTAGTACACTGTGTAACTAATATATATCGTACTAGGTTACTAGCACACTGTGTAACTAATATATATCGTACTAGGTCACTAACACACTGTGTAACTAATATATATCGTACTAGGTCACTAACACACTGTGAAACTAATATAGAGTATATCGTACTAGGTCACTAATACACTGTGTAACTAATATATATCGTACTAGGTTACTAACACACTGTGTAACTAATATATATCGTACTAGGTCACTAACTGTGTAGCTAACATATATCGTACTAGGTCACTAGCACACTGTGTAACTAATATATATCGTACTAGGTCACTAGCACACTGTGTAACTAATATATATCGTACTAGGTCACTAGCTGTGTAACTAATATATATCGTACTAGGTCACTAGCACACTGTGTAACTAATATATATCGTACTAGGTCACTAGCTGTGTAACTAATATATATCGTACTAGGTCACTAGCACACTGTGTAACTAATATATATCGTACTAGGTTACTAGCACACTGTGTAACCAATACCCCGGTATATATCGTACTAGGTCACTAACACACTGTGTAACTAATATATATCGTACTAGGTCACTAACACACTGTGAAACTAATACACAGTATGTCGTACTAGGTCACTACTACACTGTGTAACTAATATATAGCGTACTAGGTTACTAGCACACTGTGTAACTAATATATATCGTACTAGGTCACTAACACACTGTGTAACTAATATATATCGTACTAGGTCACTAACACACTGTGAAACTAATATAGAGTATATCGTAGTAGGTCATTAACACACTGTGTAACTAATATATATCGTACTAGGTTACTAGTACACTGTGTAACTAATATATATCGTACTAGGTCGCTAGCACACTGTGTAACTAATATATCGTACTAGGTCACTAGCACACTGTGTAACTAATATATATCGTACTAGGTTACTAGCACACTGTGAAACTAATATATATCGTACTAGGTCATTAGCACACTGTGTAACTTATATATATCGTACTAGGTCACTAACACACTGTGTAACTAATATATATCGTACTAGGTCACTAACACACTGTGTAACTAATATATATCGTACTAGGTCACTAACACACTGTGTAACTAATATATATCGTACTAGGTCACTTACACACTGTGTAACTAATATATATCGTACTAGGTCACTAGCACACTGTGTAACTAATATATATCGTACTAGGTTACTAGCACACTGTGAAACTAATATATATCGTACTAGGTCACTAGCACACTTTGTAACTAATATATATCGTACTAGGTCACTAACACACTGTGTAACTAATATATATCGTACTAGGTCACTAACACACTGTGTAACTAATATATATCGTACTAGGTCACTAACACACTGTGTAACTAATATATATCGTTCTAGGTCACTTTCACACTGTGTAACTAATACATATCGTTCTAGGTCACTAGCACACTGTGAAACTAATATACAGTATATCGTATTAGGTCACTAGCACACTGTGTAACTAATATATATCGTACAAGGTTACTAGCACACTGTGTAACTAATATATATCGTACTAGGTCACTAACACACTGTGTAACTAATATATATCGTACTAGGTCACTAACACACTGTGAAACTAATATACAGTATATCGTACTAGGTCACTAACACACTGTGTAACTAATATATCGTACTAGGTCACTAGCACACTGTGTAACTAATATATATCGTACTAGGTTACTAGCACACTGTGAAACTAATATATATCGTACTAGGTCACTAGCACACTGTGTAACTAATATATATCGTACTAGGTCACTAACACACTGTGTAACTAATATATATCGTACTAGGTCACTAACACACTGTGTAACTAATATATATCGTACTAGGTCACTAACACACTGTGCAACTAATATATATCGTACTAGGTCACTAGCACACTGTGAAACTAATATACAGTATATCGTACTAGGTCACTAGCACACTGTGTATTTAATATATATCGTACTAGGTCACTAGCACACTGTGCAACTAGTATTATCATACCTCCTCTTTTCACAAAATAAAACTTTGAAATATTCTAATACTTCAAACGGTTTAAAGTAAATGCACCTATATGCTTCAAGAGATATCTCGTTGTTCAAGAAATGGATACATTTGTAAATAGCAGATATCTCCTTTCTAGTCTCGGTATCGTCCTTGTACTTTCCTCCATAAAATGAGTTTCTGTCAGTACAAGGATGAATAGGGATAAAGGTCATATGTTGTACATTAAGTTACCAAGGATTACTTTATTCTGTCTAAATATGATACAATAAGCTTTACACATATTATTATTATTATATTCTTATATTTCAGGTACGAATAATCATCAACCAAAGCCGGCTTGTTCCTGAAAATAAAAAAGCGGATTTAATTGCATTATTTTTAGCAAGCTGCAATCAAGTCCTTGATCCCTGGGTATATCTTTTATTCAGACAAGAGATGATTAAGCGATTTGTCAACTTTATCGAAAATTCTAGAGTAGGAGTCGCATTAAGACGTTTTGCAAGTTCTACAGGAAGAGTTAAGAGAAAATCATTGGGCCGTAAAATGAACATAAAGGATACTCATGTCAGATCATTTGCACAAATACAGAAAGATAAATGTATTGAAGTCAATAAAAGTTCTGAAGACAACATCAACACTGAAACTGATAATTTAATAGACAAACACACAAATAAGAATATGAGAGAGAATCGATGTGAAGGACTAGATGCAGAAAAAATCGTTATGAAAATCTTGAGAGAAGAATTCTGAAAAATACACCCTACAGTTATAAATATTGTTTTACATTTGCTTTGAATAGTTGTTAAACAAAGTCGTTGAAGGATCATCATGTAACTTTGGCAACCAATTTTATTTCTTCTTATTCTCAGTACAGACAAACATGTACGAGTCGAAAAATTTTAAGACATGACAAGACCTAGATATAAAAATGCATTTTCTGTCTTTAATTTTTGTTTCAATTTGGATTAGAGTTTCATTATTTTCAACGTTGCAGAAGATGGTTTAATAAACAAATACCTGGATTTTATATGTCCAATAATTTTCACTATTTGAATAATCTTTTGTTTTGCAAAAAATCTATGGTCCCTCTATTGTCCATACCAATCAATGCAATGCAATACAATTATTAACTCGTAAAACATCTATAATATTTTGACAACATTTGAAATGACAAAAAAAAAGTATACATCAAAATCCAGTAAAATTTCTAATTTTCAAAACCTAATATTCATTTAACTTCTAAATATTTAGGTCCTTTTATGTCTTAAATCTTTATCAGTTGCAAGGGTTTGCCTGTCATCAGAATCCATTTGTTGTTTAAATTTGGTATTTTTTTTATCAAAAAGTTGAATGAATCTAAACGCACACGTCATTTAAAATCATTTCAATTTGGTTTTTTAAGTTAACTTTTCGTCGGAAACAAATTTCATAAAGGTTACTCCAGAAACACGTGTTGTGAAATCAAAGACGTTCCTAACACTGGGCCGGTACCACTACTGATGGACTATCAGTGTCAAAGGATACAATCCTTCCTTCCACTGGACCGGTACAACTACTGATGAACTATCAGTGTCAAAGGATACAATCCTTACTTCCACTGGGTCGGTACCATTACTGATGGACTGTCAGTGTCAAAAGATACAATCCTTCCTTCCACTGGGCCGGTACCACTACCGATGGACTATCAGTTTGAAAGGATACAATCCTTATTTCCACAGGGCCGGTACCATTACTCTTATCAATGTCAAAGGATACAATCCGTACTACCACTAGGTCGGTACCACTACTGATGGACTATCAGTGTCAAAGGATACAATCCTTCCTTCCACTGGGCCGGTACCACTACTGATGAACTATCAGTGACAAAGGATACAATCCTTGCTTCCACTAGGCCGGTACCATTACTGATGGACTATCAGTGTCAAATGATACAATCCTTCCTTCCACTGGGCCGGTACCACTACTGATGGACTATCGGTGTGAAAGGATACAATCCTTATTTCCACTGGGACGGTACCATTACTGATGAACTATCTGTGTCAAAGGATACAATCCGTACTATCACTAGGTCGGTACCACTACTGATGGACTATCAGTATCAAAGGATACAATCCGAACTACCACTTAGTCGGTACCACTACTGATGGACTATCAGTGTCAAAGGATACAATCCTTCCTTCCACTGGGTCGGTACCACTACTGATGAACTATCAGTGTCAAAAGATATAATCCTTACTTCCACTGGGCCGGTACCATTACTGATGGACTATCAGTGTCAAAAGATACAATCCTTCCTTTCACTGGGCCGGTACCACTACTGATGGACTATCGGTGTGAAAGGATACAATCCTTATTTCCACTGGGCCGGTTCCATTACTGATACACTATCAGTGTCAAAGGATACAATCCGTACTAACACTAGGTCAGTACCACTACTGATGGACTATCAGCGTCAAGGGATACAATCCTTACTACCACTGGGTCGGAATCGATACTGATGGACTATCAGGGTCAAAGGATACAATCCTTGCTACCACTGGGTCGGTACCACTACTGATAGACTATCAGCGTCAAAGGATACAATCCTTGCTACCACTGGGTCGGTACCACTACTGATGGACTATCAGCGTCAAAAGATACAATCCTTACAATCACTAGGTCGATACCACTACTGATGAACTATCAGCGTCAAAGGATACAATCCTTGCTACCATTGGGTCGGTACCAGTACTGATGGACTATCAGTGTCGAAGGATACAATCCTTACTACCACAGGGTCGGTTCCACTACTGATGGACTATCAGTGTCAAAGGATACAATCCTTGCTACCACTGGGTCGGTACCACTACTGATGGACTATCAGTGTCAAAGGATACAATCCTTACTACCACTGGGCCGGTCCCACTACTGATGGACTATCAGTGTGAAAGGATACAATCTTTCCTTCCACTGGGCCGGTACCACTACTGATGGACTAATAGTGTCAAAGGATACAATCCGTACTACCACTAGGTCGGCACAACTACTGATGGACTATCAGCGTCAAAGGATACAATCCTTACTACCACTGGGTCGGTACCACTACTGATGGACTATCAGTGTCAAATGATTCAATCCTTGCTACCACTGGGTCGGTACCACTACTAATGGACTATATGTCAAAGGATACAATCCTTACTACCACTGGGTCGGTACCTCTACTGATGGACTTTCAGTGTCAAAGGATACAATCCTTCACTACTAGGTCGGTACCACTACTGATGGACTATCAGTGTCAAAGGATACAATCCGAACTACCACTAAGTCGGTACCACTACTGATGGACTATCAGTGTCAAAGGATACAATCCTTTCAATCACTAGGTCGATACCACTACTGATGAACTATCAGCGTCAAAGGATACAATCCTTGCTACCATTGGGTCGGTACCAGTACTGATGGACTATCAGTGTCAAAGGATACAATCCTTGCTACCACTGGGTCGGTACCACTACTGATGGACTATCAGTGTCAAAGGATACAATCCTTACTACCACTTGGTCGGTACCACTACTGATGGACTATCAGCGTCAAAGGATACAATCCTTGCTACCATTGGGTCGGTACCAGTACTGCTGGACTATCAGTGTCGAAGGATACAATCCTTACTACCACAGGGTCGGTACCACTACTGATGGACTATCAGTGTCAAAGGATACAATCCTTACTACCACTGGGCCGGTCCCACTACTGATGGACTATCAGTGTGAAAGGATACAATCTTTCCTTCCACTGGGCCGGTACCACTACTGATGGACTATCAGTGTCAAATATGGAACGCCTCAGCTGTCTTATGTGGAACTCTGATATTACTTTATGTTGTTTTATTATTACTTGATGATATTTTGTCTTTACTTAATATGGTTTTGACATTACGTAATGATGTTTTGATATAACTCAATATGGAATTGCCATTACTTAATGATATTTCGATATTACACGATATGGTTTCGTATTGACTTGATATAGTTTTGTCATTACTCAATAGGGTTTTGTCATTACTCGATGTGGTTTCACCATTATTTAATGTGGTTGTGTCATTAGTCAATGTGGTTTTAACATTACTTGATGTGAATGTGACTTAACGTTATGTAGTTGTTTCATTACATGATGTGGTTTTGTTATTTCGTAATGATGATTTGCCTATTCTTTATATGGTTTTAACATTACGTAATGATATTTCAAAATTTGACGATTTTACACTACATGATGTGTCTGTTTCATTATTTGATGTGGTCCTGTCATTCTTTGATGTGGTTATCCCATAACTTGATGAGGTAAAACCACGTGACCAATTCGGAAAAAAAGACGTTCTATTTTTAAACAGATTTCAATATATCATTTGTTTAATGTGCTTTGGATGGGTATCGCTATCCATTGAGTTAAAGTTCAAATTAAAGTTCGAGTGGTTGTTCAGAGTTATTTAGCATGAAAAAGGTAACCGGCAGGCAATAATAAGAAAAAAGTATTAAAAAGTTTACAGTATTTCTTACATAATTGGGATATCCCCAAACCACTTTGTCTTGTTGTTTTTATCCTAAGTTCTCAAACGGAAGCAGTATTTTTGTAATAAATTTGTAAAATATTCCACGGAACCCTATGTCTCGCCTGATATTGCTGCTGTAAGTGAAAAAGCGTCATGTTGATCGGCTGTACATTTATCTATAATACATTTATCGGTAAAAACAAAATTGAAAAAAAATGTTTTTCTGTAGATGCTTCTTCTTGAAATTGAGGAATAACTCCTATACTCCTATACAAGTTTTAAAACACTTCATGGAGGTTTACAAATTTAGATAGATAGATAGATAGATAGATAGATAGATAGATAGATAGATAGATAGATAGATAGTTTACAGAACAAGTTTACAGAAACATACAAAATAAATACAGATACAATAGTTGAGGTAAACAAATACAGTATGATATTCTAAAACTACAAAATTATAATGGCATACGTGTTTAGTAACATGTATAATGAAAGGTTAAACTCAATAGAAATAAAAAAAAATGGAGATGGAGACGCCGACGCCACTATCGACGACAAAATATAGGTTTGTTGGGTCTCACTGCCGCTACATTGATGTCGCAGGCTCGACACAAATCAAACGACTTGAACTTTAATGTTAACAAATGAAGCACTTCAAATCAACTCACACTAAAGTTACAGGGAAACGGGGGGAGGGGGCTCGGACTTAGCGACAAAAGCATCAATACTATAAAATAAGAATTCTCCGAATTTTTTTTAACGTAAATTATCATTTGAACTTATACAAATATCAATCTTTTATTTGTAATCAATTGAATTCCCTGATCTACCTCGCACTAATTGAAAAATACACTTTTTGGAATATCTGTTTCACATGTGACAACGGACATGTTCCAGTGGTCGTAACCATAATACCGTCATCTTTTTCTTGAATGTGAACTACCAAATAAAACCAAATCACTGGGTTTGTACTTTCTCAAATAACACGACGGGTGCCTTTCTGGAGCATCCGAGATCACCCCGATGGATTTATATTACCCAGTCATACCGATCTATTGAGTCGGCCAAATGAAACTGTTTTGTATGCCACCGCAACTGAAAGTTGGAGAGGGGGGGGGGCATTTTGTTTTCCCCCTGTCCGTCCGTCCGTCCGTCTGTCCGTCCCATTATGGGTATATAGTTATTCCGCATAACTCCTCCTACAGTTTGAATCCTAGGAAGTTTTCTCTCTACTGTCTGTTTGTCAATATATTGAATGTGTGCATGTGGTCAGGGTTTAATGTTTATTAATATTTGCTCTTTTGGGAGATAGTTGAACT